TAGGGACTCGATCCCAGGACCCTGGGATCATGACCTGAGCCGAAGGCAGACGCTTAACCATTTGAGCCACCCAGGCGCCCTCCAGTTTTGATTCTGAAATGAAATTGAATTGATAAACAGCAACATATGGGCCACCCTGATAGACTGAAAATTCTCAGGCAGCACATGACTCATGATAACTGTGTCTCTCTTTTTTTTTTAAAGATTTATTTATTTAGTTATTCGAGAGAGAGAGAATGAGAGATAGAGAGCACGAGAAGGAAGAGGGTCAGAGGGAGAAGCAGACTCCCCGCCGAGCAGGGAGCCCGATGTGGGACGCGATCCCGGGACTCCAGGATCATGACCTGAGCCGAAGGCAGTCGCTTAACCAACTGAGCCACCCAGGCGGCCTCATGATAACTGTGTCTTATGCTGTCATTAGAACTGCTTATCTGACCATCTCACAACATTTTGTAAACATGTATCCACTCAAAAACCAGCTGATGGGAAAAACTTGTCCACAGTTTTTCTCCATTCCTACACACCTATGATCATTTTTAATGTGGAAATGTAAAGAAAGGTTTAAAACACTTTTTTTCAGTAGTAGTTGTGGGTAAATTGCCAGCGTTCTTACAAATGTCACAAGCCAGTGGCCAAGAGTTCAGTAATATGGTTTTCCTAACCACACAACAGTATATTCAGCCAGTCAGCAGTCTCATGATCTATCTAGCGGCTTTAATCATGTGACCGGGTGCACTATTTTATGATAATTAGGTGACACTAAAGCCTCAGAAAAAGCATGATTCCAGGACAATAGAAGATGGCAGTTTCCTTAAGTCTTTTTTTTTTTTTCTTTCTGTAGAAGTTTCTTGGGTTCTTGGCTGGTTGGAATAACTTACTCTAGGGACTGGAGTTGGTTGAATTATTTATAACTTAAGATTTTTATTACATAGTGTAACAGAAACTCATGCACTGAATAAGCTGTTATCAACACACTTAAATCCTTCCTCATATAGCCCTTGAAACTCTGAGGAGTTTCATGAAATTGTTTCTCTTAATCTGGTTTGTTTTGATAGTTAACGGTGAAAAGTCATCGTTCATCTTTGTAACAGAGTGAAAAGGATGGCCTAATTTTGGCCTGAAAAGTGAAGAATGTCTGCATTTGTAGCAGCGTCTACATGGTACAATGAAAACTGTGGAGATTTGGTGTGCACCCAGTTTCAGTAATTTTGAGAAATGGGGAAAACTAGTTTGGACTTTGTGGTCTAAGTTATTTGGTTTAGGTTTGACACTTTGGGTTTGACGCCTTACATTTTTTTTTAAAATACCATTGTTCAAAAAATGTGGCAATGTGTTCCAAGTTGCTGATGATTCCTTTCAGAAAAAGAAAGCAAGGGAAGCAGCTATTACTGTCGTCAGCAAGAGTAGGCAAGCACGTTTCTCTTACATGTATTAAAAGCAAATACAGTCGGGCACCTGGGTGGCTCAGTTGGTTGAGCAACTGCCTTCGGCTCAGGTCATGATCCTGGAGTCCCGGGATCGCGTCCCACATCGGGCTCCCAGCTCAGCGGGGAGTCTGCTTCTCCCTCTGACCCTCTTCCCTCTCGTGCTTTCTATCTCTCATTCTCTCTCTCTCAAATAAATAAATAAAATCTTTAAAAAAAAAAAAGCAAATACAGTCATTTGGCTTGCAGGGAAGGATAATCTGTCACACACAATGATTTCCGTGTTGTTTTTCACAGATTGAGGAAAAAATTATTTGTAATTTTATTTTCATTTTCAAGTCCATTGGTATAAAGGAGCTGGAACTCAATTCCTGTAGAAGCTAATTATGATTCTTTAGCCTAAAGTTTCTTGGCTTAGCCTTAGTTTATGGTTCAGAATATTCTCAGGTTGCTGTCTTGGTTCAGAAAACTAAGTACTCTGTACAACTCTGAATTAGAAGTCTCAAAAAAAAAAAAACCCACAAAAAAACCCAAAACCCTACTTATCTTAATTACACTGTATTTTATAAGAAGATTACTCCCTCTAAAATTAGCTTTCTAATGGCAAAACAGCTGGCTGAAATGTGAAAAATTCAAGGACTCATCTTGTTTCTTCAAACATACAATTTCAACAACCTCTTTAATTCTTAGTATCCATATGTTTTGCAGTTTTATAAGGTACAAAAACCATGGTACATTAAACTGTGTTTATTTAAGTCTGATGTGTATTGGTTTTTATGTCCTGCTATTATGATAGCAATCCAAAATTAGAAATACTGTTCACTTTTAAATGAGGTTTGGTTCATAATCTCATTTCAGAATGAGAATCAAACTCACTTTTTCTTGAGCATCGTTTGCCACTGGCCAACAGAGACCCTACTGTATTTTTACCCAGTTAGACCATCTTTGCCTTAAAAAAAAAAAATTATAGAACACACAGCAAGAATAAGTTTTGGCAAAGGTGTAGAGTGGTAAAACCACTGCTACAATCAAGATATGGAACACAACCCCCCAAAATTCCTCTATGCTACTTCCTTGTGATCTGACCCTCACCCCACACTTAAACTCAGGCAACCACTAATCTGTTCCTATAGTTTGTCTTTTCTAGAATGTCATGTAAATGGAATCATACATATGTAGTCTTTTGAGTCTGGCTTCTTTCACTTAGCAAAATGCTTTTGAGATTCATCCATGTTCTTATGTGTATCAAGAGTTTATTCCTTTCTATTGCTAGGTAATATTCCATTTTATGGATATACTGCAGTTTATTCATTGCCCAGTCAATAGAAATCTGGGCTGTTTCCAATTTTTGGTTATTACAAATAAAGCTATCATTAATATTTATGCTCAGGTTTTTGAACAAACGTAAGTTTTAATTTCACTCTGGTTAATATGTAAGACAGAGATCGCTGCGTCTATGGCAATTCTATGTTTAACTTTGTAAAAAACTGTTGAACTGTTTTCTAGAGTGTCTGTATCATTAGGTATTGGTCACCAGCAATGCAAGAATGTTTGAGAGAATGCAGTTGCTTCCTGTCCTCACCAGCTCTTGGTATTCTCAGATTGTTTTATTTCAGCTATTCTAACAGGTGTAGTAGGATCTCATTGTGGTTTTAATTTATATTTCTGTAATGACTAATGTTGAGGAACTTTTCATTGCTTATTTGCCATCCATGCCTCTTCTTTGGTGAGATATATATTTAAATCTTTTGCCCATTATTTTATCAGGTTGTTTGTTTTCTTATTGTTGAATTTTGAGAATTTTATATATATATATATATATATATTCTGGACACAAGTCATTTGTCAATTGCAAATACTTTCTCCCTGCGTATGCCCAGTCTTTTCATTCTCTCAACAGTGTCTTTCATTCTCTTAACAACAAATTTGCATTTAAATCTGTGTTTTGAAACAGATTGGTCCTAGAAAATTCTTTGCTACTGCCTCTTCAAATATTGCCTCTGTACCATTTTCTTTTTCCTCTCCTTCCAGAATTCCAATCAGATTGATGTATGTTAAAGAATATCTTACTTTATTTTCCATATCTATTAACTGTTCTCATGTTTCCTTTTTTCTTCTCTCTCTCTTTTTTTAAAAAAGATTTTACTTATTATTTGAGAGAGAGCACGCAAGAGAGCGAGCATGAGCAAGGGGAAGGGCAGAGAGAGAGAAGCGGGAAGAGGGAGAGATTCCCCCCGAGCATGAAGCCCAACATGAGGCTCGATCCTAGGACCCTGAGATCATGACCTAAGCTGAAGGCCCATGTTTAACCAACTGAGCCACCCAGGTACCCCTTCCTTGTCTCTTTTTAGTGTATGCTGAATAATTTCTGTTGTCATGTCTTTCTGTTCTTAATTTTCTCTGCATTTGTGTCTAATTGCTGTTAAACCTGCCCACTGAGTTACTGATTTCAGTTACTATGTTTCTCATTTCTAGAATTTTTTTTTAACCTGCTAGACTATTTTCTGTTGTTTCTTGTTTTGAATAGGTGTTTTCCATTTTGTATTTTATTTTTTTTAAATAAAACATAGTTATTTCACTTTCTGTGGCTGATAATCAAATATCTGAAGTCTTTGTGGGAGTTTTACGTTGTTTCTGGTTCTCATCCATATAACTTATTTGGGGTGGGGGTTCTTAATGTTTGTTACTGTGAACTCTTCATTTTCCTTAGAAAATAATTTGTGGTTTACTGAGATACATTCCTCCAGAAGCAGTTTGCATTTGTTGTTCCATGCATGTGGGGCCTACTCAACTTATAATAATGGACTGAGGATTTTGAGATCTATCTTGGTTGTAGATTATCATGAGATGACGGTCTTTCAGCGACAGAATTTTTTGGTCCTCAGTTCTGCTTAGTACCACAGGAATTTTTCTTGCAGTCATCAGAGGATGAATGGGTATGTAGGTTTTTCACCACCACCTAAAGGGTCCAAGCTTTATTATAGGATTATTTTATTTTATTTAAAAAAAATTTTAAGTAGGCTCCACACCCAGCGTGGAGCCTAATGCGGGGCTTGAACTCACAACTCTGAGATCAAGACCTGAGCTGAAATGGAGTCAGTCGCTCAACTGACAGCCATCCAGGCTCCCCTAGGATTATTTTATTATAGGATGACTTATTTATAGGATTCTCCAAGTCTTAGGCTTTATCTTCTGTCCTAACTCCCCCTACCCAAACCAAATCTGAAGTTCACCAGCTTAAGCAAATACAAGTTTGGGCAAAAACAACTTCAGGGCCATCGAATTGAGCAATTCCAATGACATCATTTAGGTGAATAGAAGAATATAAATGGTACCTCCTGGTGTTATATACCTGAGCCATATTGTCAGTTACCTGTCTGGGTTCCTACTTTACTCTCCTTTGAGCTGATAATTTTTTGCTTTCTAGTTTATGCTTCAGTGCTTTGAAGAGGTTTAGGATTTTTTTTTAATTTAAACATTTTCAGTGGGAAGGGCAGTCTGAATGTCTAGCCTGTCATATGCCTAGAAATAGAATTCTCAAATTCAACTATATATTCCCTATAATTCATAAAAATATCTGATAGCCTCATTTGTACAAATAAAAATTACCCTTTTTCTTTTTTTCTGGCACCAATGCTTTCATTAGGAACAGTTCAATGGAATTAGAGAGAATCCGTAGTCACTTGTTCTTGACTATATTCCCCCATGAATTTTACTCACATATGTACTGGATTTACATTGAAATACCAAAGTAGCACAAAGGTTTAATAGTAACCACAATTTTTTTAATGTTTCTCAGAAAATGAGTACATTAAACCAGAATCATGTGTGTTTGGTGCATAGAAAGTATTGCATCTCCATAGTTACATTAAACATAACAAGTACAAAGGGGAAATGTCTTTTGGTGGTTGATAAGCTAAAAGGAAGTGAGTCTTGTTGTACTACAACATTAGGAATGTTTTTAAACTTTAGTTCAAGAATGGAAGGTTTCAGATTCTCCTGTATTACCCCTTGCTCAAAAATAAGTAAAAGTAGTTATGGAAAAACCACGTGTAGAGTCAATGCTAAGAGTTGGTGTAGGGATATCATGTAAAAACATGATACAGAGATCATTTTCCATGGTTTATTTAATTCTCTCTGTTATTTATGGTATTTTCTCTGAGGTATAACTCGGAAAGTTCTAACAATTAAAGAGAAAGGAAGTTGACCATACATAAAAAACTAATGATGTACTATATGTTAGCTAACTGAACAGAATAAAAAAATAAATTAAAAAAAATAAAGAGAAAGGAAATCTGTCTTAGCCCAGTATTAGCCCTGCTCCGCGGTTGGAAAACATTATTTTATAACACATACCAAATCAGCCTTGGAGACGACAATGTCCATTTGTGCCTGGCATGTTGTAGATATTCAGTGTTTGTTGAACCAGTTAATTAATGGACAATTTATAATGGGCTGTTGTAAGGGAAGTGTGCCGTAGATAAATGTTGACTTGATCAAGGTACGGAAAGAACATTAAAGAAGGAAGATCCCTGGGATTCAGTATCCATTCTGGTTCTCCTTAGTGCTATGGCTTTGGGTAATCCTCAACCACCTTGGGCCCCAAATTTCTTCATCACTTGCTGTAGTCTTGGGTCAAACTGCATTACCACTCCTGTACATGCGACGTGATTTCCCAATTCAGTGTCTTTGTTCTTATAGTTATCTATCTAAAATGCTTTCCTCCATCACTGCATGACTAAGTCTACCTAGCCATGGCATCCTACTTCTTAATAATCCTCCTAGTACCAATATTCCCCTGCCAAGCTTCCTTGACACCACCCCAGCTAGAAGTTACCTTCCCCCAATCTCACACAGCACTTTTTTCTTTAAACTTAATGATGTCATTTAATGTTTTATAGCTTATGTTATGATTTCTTAGGTAGATATCTGTACTACTCTGCTTCTCTTCGAGGGTGAAAGCTCATAAGGGTAGGGCCCATCCCTACTATATTTTTGTACTCCCCCCATAATATCTAGAAAAATATACTGAAGATTATATGTGCTCAGTAAATATCTGCTGAATCTGAAAATAGGGAATAATAATGCTTTTCTTATCAATGAGAGAGGTCTGTGTTAGATGGTAGCTTCAGGCCATTTCCAGCTTTTAGACCAATGATTAAGGAACACTGATGAGGAATGCTGGATATAGATAAGTATTTATCTGTTATGAGGAGAAGAAAAGAGAATACTTGGGTGGATCAGAGTCCATTTAAAAGCTGAGATGAGCAGAGAAATTATGATGCAAGAGTAGAAAGTGACAAGAGCTGTATAGATTATCCTATCCAGTTCTTTTCTCCACTGCCTTTTTTTTTTTAAAGACTACACATACCTGTGTACAGCTGGCATATTATATGCCCAATTTTGAGAGATTCCCTGAGGACTTGAGCCAGAAAGTGAATTGCAGTTTTAGAATGTAGTTAACAATTTCAAAGACATAATGTTGAATGAAAGAAAGGAGAGAAAAGACAGTCTATACTGTATGATTCCTTTAGTATGAAGTCCAAAAACATTTGTTTTTGAACTTTAAAACTAATTTCTGGTGATAGAAGTTAAAATAGTGGCTAACCTTGGAGGGTGGTGACTAGTGCAGGGCACAGGGTATGTTCAGATGTACTGCTGTCGCTCTATATCTTGATCTGGGTTATGGTTATGTTTTATATGCACAGGTAAAAATGTTTTGAGTTCTATACTTAAGATGTGTGTACTTGATTGTATGTAAGTTATAACCCAATTTAAAAAAAAGGACGCAGTTAACAATTGTGATTGTACCACATATAACTGATGGGCAGGTGAAGGATAGATCCAAGCTATGCAGTGTGTTTCCTGGAAGAATGAAGCACACTTTTAAAATTACAGAGTTTTCTCCGCAAACCTGTGACCAGATGGCTCTCATAAATAATGCATCAAAATATGGTTAGAACTATAAGAATTCGTGATGTGTGATAAAATGAAAACAACCAATGATCACATGGTTTACTCATTTTGACTTTCATTGTGATTTTCTGGGAGAGCCAGGATCACCAATAAATTGTCCTTCAGTAAGAATGGAGTAAGTACTGTAGGAGGACACTTGCTAGCTGTGTGAAACCTTGCATAAGTCACAGGCTTTCTGGGGATCAGATGCATCATCTATTAAATGGAAAAATATTTTATCTATTCAAAGACAGAGGACAGGATCATTTGATCTCTTAAGACTCCTTCCCCTCTCAAAATCTTTGGTTTATGGAAGTTGGAACTATAAAGAACAACTCTGTGTAAAGCTTTCACACTATTAGAAATAGGATGGGAAAGTAAGTTGCTTTAAAAATCTGTAATAAGAAGCAACAAAAAATATAGGTGGAATTGGAGTCCTGCCAAGCAGTAAGAGATCCAGGCAGAAAACATCTTTTCAGATGCAGCCAGCTACCTGAAACCATTTGCTGTTGTTCCCTGGGGAATTCCGTAGCCTTTGGCAAGGGGTTTAATGTAATAATGCTAAAAGAAAGAAAGAAAAAGAGAAAGAGAGAGAGAAGGAAAGAGAAAGAGAGAGAGACAAAAGAACATTTTCAGACTTCCATCTAAGAAAGTGTTCTCTGGTAAGTTTTTCCTTTGTGGGTTCATATTTGCAGAGAAAAATAAAATCCATTGCAGAAAATGGTATTCCATAAAATATATGAGCAGAGAGGGAGCACTGTCTAAATTTGGTTTAAATAAAATCTCACAACTAGGAGGAACTGCAAGGCATCATCTCTGCTTACAGTACTAGTAAGTGAGTTTTTCTTAAGAGGCAACAGAGGCCCAGGGAAGCTAACGGACTTGCCGAAGGTCACGCAGAGGGGAGGAGCACAGCCGGCCTGTTGTATCATGTTCTGCTGCACCAGGCTGCCCCCTGTGGTTCCTTTTGGATGACTTGAACTCTAAAGAAGAAGCAGAGAGGACTTCCACTGAGTAAATGGGAAACTGATAGAACTGGGAGTCAGAAGACTCTAGCCCTTCTACCTATTAGCTGGCTTGGGAAATCATTGAACTTCTTCGAACTTCAACTTCCTCATCTAAAGTAGCACCTCACTCTGTCACTGAGACAGAGGACAATTGAAGCAACCTATGAGAAAGTGCTACATGGTTATTAAAATGGAGAAGTTCTTATCTACTGAGT